AAAGTTAGCGGTTCATGGTTCAATTATTAATTCTCTATACTGTTGTGAGTCATGTATGAACTCGTTCATACTTATGAAGAATACATAAAAAATAGTATACTAATTATGGTTAGCAAAGAAAGAAATAAAGAAAGGGTTATGGAAGGCGAGTGAAAAATGAAATGAAAAGTAAGTAGATGATAAAAAGGTTGTAACTAAATCTTTTAGTTGGTCGTCAATACAACCGTCAACCCTTTTCACCATAGCAATTTATTGACACTTGCTTATATAGATCTGGCATATTTTGTTACATGTAGTTAGTAGAAGTTTGTTTAGTACCCCGTAAATATACTAAATGAGTTTATTGATTCGCTCTTGCAATATTTTAGAGTCGTATCTCTTTTATCATTTATTTAATGTTTCACGTAATGAGAAAATATAAAATGGTCGAATCTTCTCCTACAGTTGAGTGATACAACATCTTGTATGGTACAAACTAAATTTATACTTTTTATGTTATGGTGGATTGGATTCATGGATTCAAGTGAAATCTAAACATTGGACCAATTTACATTAAAATTAAATTTGGGGTATCAAAATATAAAATGCACATTGTAGTGACTAATTTGTAATTTGTTACGCAGTTATTTATTTATAATTTGTTTGACCGCAGTAACCAAACTTCAGCTTTATATATATATTAATATTATTTGTAAAATGGTACCTAGCTTCGCGGTAAAAAAAATTTGATTGGTAACATGAAGATAATTTTGTTCAATACTCACTACGACAAAACACTAGTAGTATTTTTTTTTTCTTTTTCCCAGGGTTGTTTCAATGCCGAGCTGGTGCATGGGACCTCCCTAAGGTTTATGTATGTATCCCCTAGTGATTTGCATTTCGTTGAATGTTCAACGGGTTCTTCCATATCTTCAGTGTAATCATAATATTGTTGGGCTATGAACGAAACTGTTTGTAATGATACTCGTCGGCTAGGGGTGTCCATTCGGGTTCGGTTTTTCGGGTTTATCCGAAACCGAGCCGTTTGTATACATTTTCGATTTTTCGGGTTCGGGTTTGTTTCGGGTTCAGGTTTTCCGGTTTCGGGTTAGGTTTTGCTTATTGGGTGTTCGGGTTCCGGCTGAAAACCTCCAATGAATAGAACTCACCTGTATTTTTAGGCGTTCGGATTTTTGGGTTTCGGTTTTGCTTTAACCGAACCCGAACCCGATAAAAAAATTTCGAGTTTCGGGTAACCGGAACCCGCAAGACCTTATCGGATTCGGGTTCGATTTTAGTGATTTTTTGTTTCAGATTTTCGAGTTTTTTCGGGTAACCGAACCCGACCCGAACTGACACCTCGGTCTACGACGAGTTGGTGTGTGTGATGATGCGCTACGCGGCTTCTTGATCCTTTATGATCTGCAAGTGGATGATCGATGTTGTTGTCCCAAAATATCCTATATATCCTATGTACAAAAGATCCCCCCTGATCTATTGATAATCTCTGCACATATATATAAAAAGGTTGGTGGAGGTAACACAGAGGTGAGAGTTGTTGATGACATGAGGATGAGTTCAGTTGACATCATCATGCAACTGGGATCGGTCTGCCTTTTAAGTCATCAAATCTCTAATCAAACATTATTTGATGCATGCGAGATCCATCTCGCCCAGATAATTATTACAATAAGTGATATCTTGATTAACAGACAGACAGAGAATTAGAAGATTAGAGATCAGGGGGGGATCATACTAATTGTGGCACTTCCTTCTAATTTTATGAGCTTTAGTGAGCTAATACTGATCCCCCCAAAGATTTAATTGTTAGTTGAGTACTGCACAGCACAAGTACGTTAGAATAATTTACTAATATTAAAGTTCATATCATAATCCTGCCTGGGTTGGTGAAATTCTGACTCAGCACAGCTCTTAATTTGACTCCGTCATCCAGTTGATACTTTCTTTCTACTCTACACTACACCCCTTTGAACGCACAACATATACACGGTAGGCATGTTCAATACAAGTATTATTATTTGTTGTTTTTTTTTTAATGGTTAATGAAAAACGTATCGTAAAAGTTAGCGAAAATGGTACAGATTGATATACGTGTAGTTTAATTGGTGGTATAATGATAACGGAATATTTATTTGGCGACGATTGTCTGGAAAATTGGGTCGGTGGTCGTTAAACTTTGTCGACTGTCAAGGCGACGGTCGACCAAAACCGTCGCTATAAAATTTAAGGATAGCGAGGTCGGCGACGGTTCATTAATATTTTAGCGACGGTTTCGGCCGTCGCTAAAAGTCCGTGTAAACCGTCGATAAACAACAATTTTGTTGTAGTGCAAAACTGTCAAAACCGACTATTATATCGTGATAGATAGTCTGACTGCATTATATCAATCGATACAAAAAAAAATCCTTTATGTAATGATCGATTTCGTTGATATTAGACAATTTCTTTTGATTCGACCACCAGTACAGTACGATTAGCTTATACATTGTTATACACTGGTGAATTTCATTTATCTTTTTCCATTATTTTTTTTATGGATTAACCTCTTAACTTTACCAAGTACCTTTAGAACGAATTATTCTCCATTAAGAAAATGAATAACACATAAAAAGGCCCATGATGATGATGATCTAAGCTTCTAGATAAATTTGTGGGAAAAGAATGAACAAAACCTCAGCGCCACATCTTTAATATAATAATAATAATACCCCTCACTCTGATAACAATGAGCTAGGTTTAAATGTCTCGTATGGTCACTAAACTATAACCAATGTAACAAAATCATAACTAAACATCAAAATGTATCAAAACAATAGTCATTTATGTTACTTAAATAATTCCCCATAACTTCATTGAAATTTAAACTTATGTTTGGTGTGCATGCCCAATCAACATGCTATCTAAGCACGCTACATCACCCAATACGCTTTTTGTAGCACTCAGCCTAATGAACCCGCACTTAGCCTACTGTTTTTGACTGGTTAAAATCACAATTCTAATTTTCTACGTACCCTTTATTGAATCAATCTCACTCTTCACAAAAATAACTATGTACACTTCCTCTTCCAAACATACATCAATGACAACAAATGATGATTGATGTATGTTTTTTTTTATGACTTAATATAGGTAATCTAATTTGATGTTAGTAATTAGTTTGTTGTAGAAAGTTCCAACGACTAGACATGATGATTTTTTTTTATCAACAGAGCTCAGTGAATTTTGACTGTGAAATCGTGGTAACCTACCCATATAGCATAACCAAAACCGAGTAGGGTATTATCCTAATAGAAAAGAAAACAACACAGACTATGAGGGACTAATATGCAAATAAGCATAAAGAGAGAGAGAGAGACCAAAACAAAAAACAAAAAACACACCATTTTACCATATCGTGATGACTGTTTCAGATATTTTGTTTTTATATGATAAACTGACCATTCAATTGATGATGATTCACGCATTCACGAAGCTGCGCAAAGCTTGCTGTGCTGTAACGATCAAGCAGTCTTGATTGAGGCAAACTCCATGAACGCCATTTTTTTTAATCGCAAGGGCCAGCAAAAGCCGTACAAAACAGGGGGTAATCCACCTATAATTAATTGTTGATGCCCTAATCAATTGTTGCTTGAAAGGACTGGATTCCTGTACAGGATTCCTTTGATATTGACAATGTGATTTGCCCAGCTAGCTACCTAACTGACCTATATACGAGAAAACATCTTGTCAGAAAAAGAAAAAAAACACACACACACACGAGAAAACATGAATATTATTTGCTCTTTCATCGGACACCGATTTTCTTCTTTTGGGATGGTCAGGTGCTGTCGGAGAAACCATGGTAGCATGGCGAGCTGGCGACACCAGATGTCGCTGCTGCTGATTAAATATGGTTTCAGGGGGGCGCAAATTATTTGCTCAAATGACTTGGACTTCTTGTTTGTCTTGTCTTTCATCACTTCCTTCAAGGAGAGTTAAGATTATTTGGTGTTTAATTATTAAGTCCTTTGCTAATTAGTGAAATTTGTTGATCATGAGAAGGACAGTCATCTAGTGCCCGGTTTCTCAGATGCACAACTACTGACTATAATGTTCACACTTTTTCAAACAAAATTCAAATTGGGAGTGTTTGATGTGAATTGAGTCCGAGTTTTTTTTTTTTTTTTATTGGAACCTGTATTCAGCTTTTATTGATTTGAGAAAGATACATCATCAACTATAAGCTGATCGATCAGATTCAGCGGAGGCCTATCAAACCATACTTCCGCTCTATCCCACAAAGTTCTAGTATGCGCCATGATGTGCGCAGCTTCATTTGCCTTTCGACTAACATATTGAACTGTCCCTCCACCTGTCTCCTCCAGTAACTTACTGATATTCCTGCAGATCACCCCGAGCTCCGTTTGTATCTCTGACGAGCGTCTGACACCTGTAACCACATTCAAACAATCCAATTCCAGGATCGGTCTCGCCATAAGGTGCTGGCGCGCAAGCTGTAATCCAAACTCCACTGCAAGAGCCTCCCCCATCGTCGGATCCAATATTCCTCTAACCTGTTTTGCTGCTGCCATGACAAAAGCTCCCATATGGTTTCGAACCACCACACCCAGTCCTACGCCTTCAGCTCCAACCCCCGCGTCGGTGTTAATTTTCATCCTGCCCTCTTCCGGTCTTGTCCAGGCCTGATCGCCGCTGTTCGTTGGAGGCACCTCAATGCAAACTTGGTGCATCCGATACTCGTCCAGGAAGGACTCTGCCCAAGGAACTATCTCCATCTCAGCCATCTTCACACCATTGAAAAGGTGAGCATTTCTCTCTTTCCAGAAGATCCATAGGAGGACCACCCAATCTTCTAACTCATTTTCTGGAACCGCTTGTGCTACCTTCCAAAACCATTCCATACAACTTGAATCACCCCTTAGCTCGAAGCAGTGAGCAACACGTGAGGCCCTCCATAATCTGCTCATCCACGTGCAATGGTAGAACAAATGCACTTGTGTTTACAATTGATTACAAAAAGGAGACGAGTCACCTCTTCTGGGATTGCGCTTACTCACCTGCTCACCAGTTGCTAAAGCTCCTCTCATGAATTTCCACATAAATATCTTGACCTTTGGAGGTACGTGCATCGCCCAAAGGCGATTCCAAATGGCTGGCTCCCCCATGCTACGGTCACCCACCTCTTGTTGATGCTTTCCCAGCCACGTTCTGTATCCATCACGGGCCGTGTACCTACCATCCTTGCTGTCCGCCCAAATCATGCAGTCCGGCTCCCCTAGGTCTCGTAGAGGTATTTGGCGGATAGCGTGTACCATGTCAGCTGAAAAACAACTCTCAAGCATTGTATCATCCCACCTCTCCAAACCTTCTTCAAACAGATCTCGCACCACTGCATCCACCGGAAGACCCGTCGGGGAGGATTGGACGATGAAACCCGGCGCCGATGGTACCCAGCGATCACCCCAAATTCTTACCGTTGCTCCATTCCCAATACGCCAACACATCCCTTCCACTAGAAATTCTTGCGCGCTCATGAGGCTTCGCCAAACGTAACTCGGTCGCCCTCCCACACGCGCATCTAGGATCGAGTCGTTTTTATGGTATTTTGCTTTCAGCAGCCTCGCCACCAGGGAATCTGGACGGGTGTAGAGGTTCCACACTTGTCGCGCGAGGAGGGCTTTGTTGAAACCGCGGAGGTCCCTGAAGCCCATTCCGCCCTGTGCTTTCGAGCAAATCAGGCCCTCTCTCGCAATCCAGGGTATTCTCTTCTCTTGGCCTCTTTGTCCCCACCAGAATTGGGTGATTAATCCATGGATCTCGTCAATGACTCCATCTAGTACCTTAAATACCGACATCGTGTACGTTAACTGAGCCTGGGCCACCGACTTAATCAGAACCTCTCTAGCTGCAATTGACATTGTCCTCTCCTTCCAACCGGACAGCTTCTTCCGCACCCGGTCTTTTAAGTACACGAACAGCTCTTTTTTCGATCTACCCACTTGAGTCACCAGCCCCAAGTACTTATCATGCTTCTCTACCACCTTCATGCCCAATGTCGAACTAACCATCAGCCGTTGATGCATCTTCACATTCGACCCAAAGGTAACCTCTGACTTTTCAAGGCTGACCATTTGTCCGGATTCCGTTTGGTAATCATCAAGAACTCTTCTCAGCTCTAGGCCTTCCTTTACTGTCGCCCTAGCAAAAAAGATAGCATCGTCAGCAAAAAATAGGTGTGAGATCACCGGAGCTCCCCTCGCTACCGACAGCCCATGAATGCGCTTCTGCTTGGCCGCTAGCGAAACGTAGCTCGACAAACCTTCTGCCACCAACAGGAATAAGTACGGTGACAGTGGGTCACCCTGCCTGATTCCTCTGCTGGGAGCAAAAGACTGTAATCGGTGTCCATTAACCAGGATAGAATAGGTCACTGATTTTACACACATCATTGTTCTCTGGATCCAGCTCGCTGCGAACCCCAATCTACTCATCATCTCTTCAAGGAACCACCATTCAACCCGATCATAGGCTTTTGCCATGTCAGTCTTCGCTGCTAAGTAGTCTGTCTTGTTTTTTGTTTTCTTCTTCATCGTATGAAAGCATTCGAAAGCCGTCATCACGTTATCCGCGATAAAGCGCCCAGGCACAAAAGCACTCTGCTCCGGCGAAATGATCGTGTCCAACAGAGATTTCAATCTATTCGCCATCGCCTTCGAGAGCATCTTATACATCACGTTACACAAGCTTATCGGTCGAAACTCTCTTGCCATCACTTGATCTTTTACTTTTGGGATCAGAGCAATTAAAGTGTGGTTCAGACCCGCCGGCATTATCCCACTCTCCCACGCTCCAAGCAACAGCTCCGAGATCTCATCACCGACAATATCCCAATACCGCACAAAAAACAAAACTGACATGCCGTCCGGTCCCGATGCCTTCCTTTTCCCCATTTGTCGAAGCGCTTCATAGAGCTCTTCTCGAGTCAAGGGGCGCTCTAGCCAAGCATTCATTTCATCATTCACACGTGTCTCCACCGAGTCCAAAACTGGCGTCTGAGGTGGGCGACCCCCTGCCATGAACAACTCACTAAAATACTTTGTAAGGCACGTAGAGACATCCTCATTACCTCGCCACCACGCTCCAGATTCATCTCTCAGCTTACGGATCAGATTGCGCTTTCTACGCATTGAAGCTTTCCTATGGAAAAAGCTTGTGTTCTGGTCACCCTCCCGGAGCCAATCGGCCCTCGACCGTTGCTTCCAGAACAGCTCCTCATCGCATTCCAAGTCTTCCAGCTCCAGCTGGAGCTTTTGTTTGTTAAGTATAATCTCGTCTGTTTTCTCCCTCCTGTCCAGCGCCCTTAGAGCCCGGCGAATTTTCTCCTTCTGTCTTCCAAAATTTGGGAACGTAACCCTACTCCATTGGTCAAGCTTCTCCTGCACATGAGCAATTTTTGCAGTCGTCTCCCCGGCCGCCGAAGCCCAGGCTTCCTTTATAGTCTCCGCACACTCAGCATGTTTTACCCAGAGCGGCTCGAACCTAAAATTCCATCCCCACTTTATGTCATCCTCGTCACCCACTGTTTCACATGAGATCGGCCGATGATCGGAACGTGCCGAATCTAGGTGTAGCACCCTCGCACTAGGCCATAAATTCTGCCACTCTTCATTAGCCAAGTACCGATCCAGTCTCTCTTCAATGTATCCCCCACCACTCCTCCTGTTCTCCCACGTAAAAGGGTAACCATGGAAGCCTAAATCGCACAGTCCCGTCTCCGCTAAGCACTCCGCGAAAGCTTGCATCTCCACTTCGTTCCCGGGGTTACCCCCTTTTTTCTCCCGGTCTGATAAGATTTGGTTAAAATCCCCGCCACAAATCCATGGTCCATTCCATTGTCTTGCCCTCTCTCGGATTAGCTCTAGCGTTCGGTGTTTATCGCGTCCCTCAGCCCATCCATATATGCCAGTAAACCGCCACACCTTGTCGTGACCTTCCTCAACTTTAAGATCCATATAGTTTTGTGATTCCTCAATCACCTCCGCCTTAACTTCTTCCGACCACCAGATTGATACACCTCCTGCACGTCCACCCCTAGAGATATCACACGGCCAACTTCCCCCATGACTAAAACCCATTTCGTTCCTCAGGGCCTCATTCTCGTCCCGAAGTTGCTTTGTTTCCATAAAAAACACAACTTGGGGGGAAACCCGTCGCAACAGCGACCTCAACGCTCTAACTGCACGTGGGTTTCCCGGTCCACGGCAGTTGTAGCATAATAGTCTCATTTATCTACTGAAGGGGATCGGTTCCCCGCACCCTCAGCTGTTTTCTGGGTACTTGTACCTCCTGCCTCCTTACGTATCTCTGCACTCTTATTACTCTCTTTCTTCTGCCAGGGCTTCTTTCCGTCGCCCTTTATTCCTTGTACTCCACTCGTGAGTCCTTTCCCTGCAGATATGCCTTGAGTCTTACTAGCCGCGGTCTCTTTCCTACCCGCAGGGATGGCCTTTGGTTTGGGTGTACCCGGTTTCGCGTTCGACTCCTTGACATTTTGCTCTTGCCTCCTATCTTTCACGTGGTGTGCATGGTCTTCTGCATGGGAAGTATTCCCTTCTGGGCTCTGGGGAGCCATTTGCTTCTCCTTCGTATTCCCCATATCCCCTTCCGCCACCACCTCAGTTACATCCTCAGTTTCAACTTGATTTGCCACCCCCGCTAAGGTATTAAACCGATTCGAATCTCCCTGTCCGTTTCTCAGCTCCTTGCCCCGACCCACTCCCCTTCCGGGCCGCCTATCCCGACGCTTAACCACCATCCAATCCCCATACGTACGCCCTTGAGTAGGGTCTTCTACCTTTTCCACCTCGTCTGCCTGAACCCCTTCCGTTTCCATCGCCTTCTCCGCTAAATCACACTGGCACTTTCCGCCAGACTTGCCATACGTCCCACAATTCGTACATAAATCATCCAGACCCTCATATTGAATCAAATATGTTGTCCCCTCAATCTTATACTGAGATAACAATGGTTGTGTAAGGTCCACTTCCACACATAGCCTAGCGAACTTTCCCCTGGCCCCAAGCTCCGTAGCTCGATCAACGCGGACCGGTTTCCCCAACCATTGGCCAATTTTCATTACTGCCTCTTTGTTGATGAACTCAATCGGCAATTCCGGCAGCTGGGCCCATACCATAGTCGTCGTGATCACCGTCTTCCAGGGATTAAAACCTTTAAACCACCGATGCACCGTAAGGTAGGTATCGCCCAGAAGCCAAGGGCCTCCCTCCATTGCCCATTCATAATCCTTTTGATTGCGAAACCGCACCAGGAAACACCCATTCTTCATATCCGAGATTCGAATCTCTCCATTCCGTGCCCATAAGAAGTTCAGTCTGCGTGCCAGAGGGATATACGAAACCCTCCTTCCTAGTCCTTTTACTACCAACGCCGACCTCCACTCCCGACGCCACTTTATTTTCTCCGCCGCAATAAAAGGAATCGTAGGGCATTTAGGATCCTCCTCCGCATCTATCTCATCATCCTCCTCCTTCTCCATCGCGGCTACGTCCTCGGAGTCCGAATCCGCCACATACCACTTATCCTCCTGAAGAACCGCACTAAAGCTCTTCGCCCAGGTTCCTTTCCCCGGGCTTGGGGTTGTATTCTCCTTTTCAGTCTCCATCTCAGTTGCCTCGGTCTCCCCCGCTCCCTCTCCTGCTTTCTGCTCAAAAACCAGTGGACGAACCTTCTTTTTTGGTTGCACCGTCTCTCTCTCGCTTTTACCGTCCGGAGTGGAAGATCCCTCCGACGGTCACCGGACACCACTAGTCACATCCGGAGCCTTGTCCGTCATCCCTGGCGACGTCGGCGGTGAGACCGTCGCCATTCTTACGGCCAAAAAACCCTAGGTTTTGCTGATCGCTCTTATTTTCTCCTCCTAACTTTTCGGAGCTCGTTACCCGAATTGAGTCCGAGTTAGATTACTATGTTCGTATGAAAATTCAAGTAGAGTACTAACCGATCTAGCTAGTCTGCCAATTGCGTGTAGAAAAGAAATTAACCCAACTATTGTTTTACAAGGCATTGTTCGGTACGCTACCAGGCGGAAAAAAAAAATAGTAAATGATAGATTTACCTCTTCATTTTCCACCTTGACCACCATTTTCGGGGCAGAATAAAAATAAAAGGAAGAGTCGAGGGAGAGTGAAAACAACAACTTTTGCTTTCCACTTCTAAAGATTCAATTGGAGCGAGCGAGAAGATCACCATATGCAAGAAAGCTTAATTCGATTCACGTCTTTTCTTGTTTTTATGAGGAAATAAACCATATATTATTCGAATGTGATGAGAACCCTACAGGGTTCCAAGGATTTCAGATAGTGAAGTGATATTTCTGGAAAAAATTCATTCAATTCTTATCTCATGTGTTTGATTTACATATTTTTTTTTATTTTGAGATGCACGCGTTAAAATTAGATATCTATTAAGAAGCGATATCGACTAGATAAATGGTTTCTCGCCTCGGTGAATTCTACACAAAATTATGATGCACATGTTGTACTTAACAGCAAAAAAAATATGTTAATTTTTGAGTTATTTCAATAAAATCTAACCATCGATATCAAGTAAAAAAGCATTTGACAATTGTGAGGCTTGGTATTCTTTAAGGAAACAATCACACAAATTATTACAGACCCTTGAAACAGTGTGTTTCATCAGTCCAAAACTCCTCCCACGCCTCTGAATGCCCGCTCATATCTGTTCTTCAGATAAGGTGCAATGTATATTTTATTCTCTTTTGTGTTTGTAGTCATGCGTGTAATAAAAAAAAAAAATATTGCATTTTCTCATGTTCTAGTAATCATTTTTCTCCTCTCTTTTTTTTTTATTATTATCAAATTAATACGAACAAAAAAAACTCAAATCTGGAAAATTTGTAAAATTCATATTTTATCATTTCCGATACAAATTTTATTGATGATAAATAAATTATATCAGAATGATAAGAAACCAAGTATTTTAGGTTTTATTGAACAAGAATTTGATCTAATAAATTTATGATTGATTCTGCTGAAGGTCTTAAATTTGAATCCATGACTTTTTATATTGAACAAAATCCAATTAATATATATATATATGCATGTACAAAGACGGAAAGATCACTCAACCCCTCCACTCATTCGCCTCCATAGAAAACCATTAAACAACGACTGTCTTTTTGCAGGATGGAGGCCAGAACCCTACACCTGTCCCTTACGTGACGTTCTCTAATCCCTATGGCTTACTACTCAATATTTTTAATCAACCATTACCTGATATGGAATCCAACAAAGTTCAATCAATTTCTTAATTAATTCAAGAAGAAAGCAATTAATTAATTAACTAATGGGTGATTAGCTACTATTGTATATATGGATCATTACATTTCTTCTTGAGAAGTAAGCAAAACGAAACACCTGGTTTCAACCCATTGGTTGCCAAGTAGTTTTCAAGGTTCTCCCCTAAAGAAAAAATCAATCCTCACCCCCCTACCAAATATTCTACTAATTAATGTAAATCTTTACTAGATTATGCTTAAAGAGGGTGGCTATATATATAAAAAAATTCTTTTGTGTGGCCTTATGCCTAGATGCAATAAGCTCTAGAACGTACGTGGCACACGGTTGTCTCACTTTTGGCTCCGCGTAATTATATATTAATAATTATTCTGTACATAGTTAAGATGTGTGTTCATTGAGTCCTCAAAAGGGCATGTCACTCAATTCCTTGACTAAAAAAATAATTATTATAAACTATATTTTGGTGTTTTCCCTAATGTCCTTTCTTTCTTGTGTTATCTTAATCTAGATAGAAGCAATTAGGTGGTCTCCTCATGGACTTCATCACCCCATTTCTAGAAACCTTGATACCAATCCTAAGAGCATCTTGGCCGTCAGATTCGTGTTCAAAGGGGAAAGAACAAAACCCTCAAAATAATGTCGGGGCATATCAGTCAATCTTGGTTGGAATTTTGGCAATGAATCATCGAATACCCTTCAATATGAGGGAATTAGATGAATAAATTGTTGGGTTAGTCACGAATTTTTACTGTTTTACTTATGTTTTGAGAAGCAGAAACACTGAATTGGAGAAATTAGTAGTTTATGATTCATCGATTAATCGTTATTAAACTATTGGTTGACCATTGATCAAACTGTTCATACACTATTAACATGAATGACATGTATAATACACTAATTAAACATTTTATCACTAACCACGTGCTTTCAAATCCATACATTCGATCACTAAAAAGTTCTAACAAATCATTCAAAGTATCTCACACAAGGAATCATAACCTTTTTATTTATTAAATCCGAGTTAGTAATTAGATATGCAATTCATAATGGACCACATAGATAACAAGGAGGCTGAAAAATTAGGAAAAAGAAGCAGAAATAAAATTAGTGATCCAGCAGGTTGGATTGCCTTGGTTTACGTGAAAGTATTTATCTTAATTTTTTTTGTGGTTAAAATAGTGAACTATTTTACTAGACAAATCGTCGTGATTATCTGATTCATGTCAAACCGCTAAGAAGTGTTCAGTTCATCCTTAGTTGTCCAAACAAATGGACCGAACTCCTATTGTAACTGATTTGAGAGTTGTACCAGTCCAATCGTTAATCCGGTATATATGCTATTTTTCTTAAACCATTTACTAATTATCTGCATTTTTTTGAACATGTCTTATGGACATCAAAGCTTAAAGATTAAAGTACTATATATATTAAATGTGTCTCCTACTTTATGTGAGCGAAATAGAAAGCTAAAATATGGTGGCCAATTAGTAATTGATGTATAATTTTGGGTGGGTTTAATTTCCCCTTAGAAAAGATAATAGAGATGAGGAGGGATTATATGATGGTGACACTAGATCATGTTTACAAGAAGGTGGTGAGTATTAGCTAATAGAGTGGTGCGCTGTCCAGTATAAATATGGACACAAAGCACTATCCTTTGGAAGGCACAGAAATATTTGGTAAACACACACAAAAAAAAAAAAAAACCATAACCTTTGTGGTTTACCAAACACATAGTGTAGACTAAGCCCCCAAAAAAAAAACCTTGTTTGTTTTTTTCTCTTCCTCTCTTGTTATCTTCATAGTAAGAATGTCGTGGGGAGTGATGGAGGGACATTTTGGATGGGGAAGCTGCAGCAGCAATGGTGCTGCAACTGTGGTTGAAGAAGCTGCAGCAGCTGCTGGGTGGAGAAAGGGGCCGTGGACCGCCGAAGAAGACAAGCTGCTGATCGAGTATGTGAAGCTGCATGGCGAAGGGCGATGGAACTCTGTCTCCAGGCTTGCAGGTAACTACCTATCTCATTCATTACATCATCATCATCCAAAATCGCGCGCTTTTAACTGCATCGATACTAATTAGTTCTAATATTACCACTGCAACTCGATGGAATGAATCAGCAGGACTGAAGAGGAATGGGAAGAGTTGCAGGCTGAGGTGGGTGAATTACCTGAGGCCAGACCTGAAGAGAGGACAGATCACTCCACAGGAAGAGACCATTATTGTGGAGCTCCATGCTAGGTGGGGGAACAGGTATGTTAATTAAATTACAATCAATCAATCTTCAATTAATCCCACCATCCATCACAATTAAATTAAGTTATATGTACATTAATTGAAGTTCTAAATGAATATATTAATCCCGATCTTTTCATGATCAGTTCCCTTTTAATTAAATCTAGACAAAAAAAAAAAAAGAAGAGGGGTACGTATATTAATGGATGATTAATATATTAATTTAATTCTTGAGTTTTTTTTAATCTTGTGATTTGGGGCCAGGTGGTCCACTATAGCTCGGAGCCTGCCAGGAAGAACGGACAACGAGATCAAGAACTATTGGCGAACCCACTTCAAGAAAAAGACCAAAGTGCCCCTCCTCGACACCTCCGAGAAGGCCAGGAACCGCCTCCTGAAGCGGCAGCAGTTCCACCAGCAGCAGAAGGAGCAGCAGCAGTTGCACCAGCACCAGCACCAGCAACAACAGCAACAGCTGCTGTGGCAGCTGAACCAGCTGGACATGAAAAAAATCATGTCCTTGCTGGACGACACCTCCGACTACCCCGCCGCCGCCATGGCTCAGTTCAGCGGCAGGCAGGATCAGGTCGCCGTCGCCGCCGCCAGTAGCAGCAGCAACGGTAATACAGCTCATCATGTTTACCCTAACGGCGGGGATCATTTCTTTAGCAACGGCATGTTCAGCGTCGTTAATGATGATGATAATAATAATAAAGCACCGGCGGCAGAGGCGGCGTCGAGCGATGAAGTGGGTCTGTGGGAGGAGGGGCTGTGGAGCCTGGAGGACTTCCACGTGGCGGTGGCTACTGGCAGAGTCCCCAACTTGGTTGCACCTTTTTGTTGACTTTGTTGGCTTAATTAATCATCCAACGATCGAGGCAACAACGGAATGCAGCTATATATAGCGGTGTTTATATATATATATATAATCTGCCCGGCCGGCCGGCCAATAAACTCGATCGATCGTCTTCATGTGTCATTTTTGTTTCCTTGCTCCATTCCATGGTGGTTTAGACCAACCAAAAAATCGGGTGGGGAGCTCCTAAAAGGTGGAGCTTTTGTCTTGGTGCAGAAACAGTTGTTCATTAATTGCAAGCTGTAAAACTCTCGTTTCCATCTGCTACAAAAAGTCGGTCGTTTCCATTTCAACCATGACTTATGACGATGGACGAATGATAAATCGAAAATTGTACCCGAAAAAAAAGTCAATGATAGAGTATATTTTAATGTTGAAATTGTGGTTCAATCGCGTGTTTTGTAACGCTAAAAACGATTCAGACTAGGACATGGTATGATGAAGTTTTTTACAAATGAACCACCAGCAGTACGATACACTCTTATTACAAACATGGTTCAAAAGAGATATATGGGAATTTGGCCTTACACAAGCAATTTTGACTTCTAGCCTCTCCTTTTGTCGGCCCTCTTGAAATTTATTTCTGACCCTTCTCTGTTCCTTGAGCACTTAAGCGGGATGTGTAGCTTGCTAATCATTAAGGGGTGTTAACACCCTTAATTATATTAGTACAATCGTAGTTGTAGTTATTGTTTTTTTGTAGTTGTAGTTTAAAACTTCGGTGTAATTATAGTTATAGTCATTTATTTTTTTGTAGTTGTCGTTATTTCTGCAGTGATAAAACTACAATCCAACTCAAACTATGTATAATTAGTATCGTGATAACAGCATAAAATTACCAGTTAAATTCTACTTAATTGAGATTTCATGGAAAAATTCGTGAAAACGAAGGGAACAAAGCTCTTTGGTCAGTTGAGTAGGTCACAACCCATTAAAGGAATTAGCAGACACGCTCGCACTTAATGTTTTTGCTTCTAGACCTGCTTATTTTGATTGTTGACTATCCGTCTAGTCTTTTTAAGATCATCATTTTGCCACTTTTGATTTCAAGATCACATTCATGTTACCACTAATCCATCTCCATGCATTTTTTTTTTCAATTCCTTTCTGTTCGGTATTACTAAATACTCCGTGCACAGACTAAGTAATAGGACGCACAATCGGTAATGCGTGACGCTCAATACCCGCTACAGGTAGAGGTGGCAATTCTCAATCCAATCCACCAATCCAATCCACCAACCCATTAAAAATATCCACCTAATCCAATCCATTTAAATCCAATCCATTTGATCCAAATCCAATTGGATTGGTGGATTCATGGATCGATCCATGGATCCAAATGACAAATTACGGTTTGGTACCTATAATTTTTATATTTTAATTTTTGGTACCCAAAATTTAATTTTTATACGAAAAATATCATTGGAAAATTACGTTTTGGTACCTAAAATTTTTCATTATGACATTTTAGTACCTAAAATTTTCACATTTTGCAAATTGGTCCATGATTGAGGATGTCATTTGGATTCATGGATAATTCACCAATCCACTTGATCCAATCCATTGGATCATGAATCCACCAATCCATTTGCCACCTCTAGCTACAGGTATATAAGGGCTTGAAGCCCTCCAAAGAAGAGGACTTCTTCTCTCTCCTGACTTTCCATTTTCCACTATCTCTCTACACTTTATCTCTCTATCTTGATCTCATGCCATGAGTCTAACCTAGTAGTGTAGTTGCAGCTGCTTAATAAGACACAACTCTCACCTTAAACGAAAACTGACTTGATCGTCGGAGCTTAATCCGAGGGGCAACTCCGACTTTTCACAGGTTCTATCCCTCCCAACGAGATCGGACGAACGGATCGTAAATCAAACCCACACCAACAAATGATTATTGTTCATACGTCGAGCTAGAAGGTACAAACACTTTCCAATTTCACAAGAAGATTATAACTTACATATCAAAATTTGAGATACCTCGAATATATTTATTTGACCTGTGCAATCTTATTAATCTTGTTTTCGAATCACTGAATTAAGGTAATCACCCAATTTTGAGGGCATGAAGACGTTGCGAACTCAAATTTTTTCGGCCTAATTCGTATAGAATTGAGCGAAAATGAATCCATAATAAAAACTTTAGAAACTCTACGTATCATGCACTTTCCTCGAAATAATGAATCTGTTTATACATATATTTTACGGTGCTTGTGGACGTAGCTAATAAACCTACTCATATCTAGAAAAGTTTGTAAAGCAAAATTAATTCCTTAAACAAATAATTAAGTTGTGTAAATGGGATCACTGCACCTTATAATTAAGCCTTATGATTTTAATACTGGTTGAGGTGTACTATTATTATGAGGTCATCATTAAAAAATATTCCAGAGAATAAAAACAAAAGCATTCTAGGCTTAAACTAAGAGGAAATGAACAAATGTTTTTGCTTTCTACCAAAAAGGAGAAGAAATGAAGAAAAAGATGATGAAAAGTGAACTTAGTACAAGTCCGTGCTGGCTAACGAGGTGACGTGTTTCTTCTCTTGTCGTGATCTCCAACTTTATAAAGAGGAGAGAAAAAGAGAGGATTTCCAATGACATCACAGAGCAGAGCAGCAACAATGTCGTTAATATGAATATATGCTTTGATCTTAAAGGCCAATCTGTTCCCAACAACGTACAAAAGAAACCCAAATTTCTGGATTTTGGATATATGCAGATTGAGATTCTCTTTCAGTACTCACTCTCCATGTTTTTCTGTCCACTTCTGAATTTCATATGTTATCTTTGCAATCAGTTCCCGCTCCTAATCTATGCTGCCGCTGCACGCTTTCATCAGCAATATATATTTGCATTGGCTGCGCAAAAGGGAAGCAGAGATTTTTCCAAAACAATTAGATACAGACAAACTTGGACGATGTGCAATCACTTGCACTAAGTTTAGGACTAGGAGTACAGTTTCCCCATTACCATGCTTATGCATATAGAGTGTGTATACATAGTTTATATGTCGAATTAGTACGCCAAATCCATTTGTTCGTTAACACCTTTTATTTTATCGATGCGTTGTTGGTGTATTTTTTAGACTCTCGATCTCGAATAGGGTGTTTTGTTAGAAAGATTAGACTATAGATTGTTGAGGCATAAGACTTCATCAACAGAATGATGTTGCAGAAGGTTGGATAAGTCATAAATGGATCATTCTGCGATAGACCCCGTAGATTCTATGCTGCTGAAGGTTCATTTCCTCTGCAGAACCAATATATGAAATGCTGACAGACCTCATCTGGGTGATGAAAAAAAGCGCTCTGATTTTCCAGAGTAGCGAGGATGTTGCGTGGAAGCTTTTGAATGGTTGGTCAACTGCTATACACATTCTTTCTTACCCGATGAATGACAGGATCATGTCAAAACTCAAAACTATAGGACAGTAGAAGTAGAGTTGTGGTGATGTGCTGATGGCCAAAACATTGTTCTTCAGGGTTTGTCTACTGTCGTTTGCATTTTAGCAGTGAATGAAACAGGTGGTAAACAATGGGAACCTCTAATTACTAACCCATCATGTAGTAAACAATGGGACGGTAAGGCTAAAGTGAAACAGGTAACATTGCTAAGACGTGATTAGTTTTTCTGGGGGCTGAAACTAGCTTTTCTTACGGTTTAGTGAATGACCTGAGCCGTGTTTAAATTTGCAGGTCATCAACGCAGAACCATCTGAGACCTGTGTAGCAAACAAGAAATAAAAAAACTTTGTGAATGCAGTTCAGGGCAACATTTCAACTTATGGGTAGGGAATGATCAACTCAGCTTGTTCGATCCCCCGCATTCATGCACAAATGGCAAGCAGAACCATAGCTCACAGTCGGAGAATCCATTCTCAGAAGCAGTACGTTCTTGTTCTGCAAGTCTCTGCCTGCGTATGCAACAGCCAGCAGCAAACAGCACACACGCTGGTCAGGGTCATTATGCGATGTGCCTCTAGAAGATTCAACTTGACAACTTGGAGCTGCAATTAGGAAATGAAGTGGTTTCTGTCTGAGAGACAAAAATGGCCACACAGTGAACAACAAGCATTCAGCTAGGGAGGCATAGGCACCCGAACGAATACAACAAGCAAAGCACGAATGGTCATTTTGATGGTGCGATTAACATTTAAAACAACCCTGAAAAAATGTGAGGATATGGTTATGATTTCAGTGACAATATACACCTGAATATACCCAGAATTTTAGTCCACGCAGAGTACTACTTTTTATCCATACATTGTAGGAAGAGGTAATCAAAAGAAACAGAATCTAGAGGCTAGGAGATGCTGATATTATAGATTGAAATGTTACAGCAATGGGGCTGAGAGATTGACAAGAGTGTGATCCCTTCCAGAGCTACCAATGGCCAGAAGCCATCAACATTCTCTTAAACTGTTGAAATTTTACTTGATTAGCAGAGACCACTAAAGGAGCCTAACTTCAAAAGTTTGCCTTTCTTCAAGCAGCCAGAAGCGCAACAAGTGCAGAGTGCGCATTGTCAGGTAATACTTCGCATCTACAACCCTGCAAACCATCAATTTCATCTGCAGGTTCTGTCAGCTCAGTTTAGCTACTCTTAAGCCACACACTCAATCGCATCCCCATCTCCAATACGGACGGCTAACGGCATGTCTGAAAGGTTTTTGCTTCAAGGTTTCTTGCCAGAGTCTCTTTCACGCCGATAAACAAAAATGTAATTGATCATCACTCTTCCAACCCTTCTGGCTTTTCTGGATTTTTTACTCATGCCTCTCCTTCTATCCTCCTTGTACACAGGTTCAGACATTGGTACATTATTTATGTACGCCAAAGGAACTAAAGCTAAAAGAAACTGTATCAAAATCCCCACAGGAAGACGTGAGTAGTCACTTGATGTTATTCCAAGCAGTGATGCTAATCCAACACCAAAAAAGCCACTAAGGACGGATGACAGAATAAATGCTGAAGCCAAGAAAGATGTAAGAGATCCTTCACAACCTTGTGGGCATAAACTTGCCAACAACACTGAGAAAGGGAGGAGTTTAAACTGTTGAAGGATTTCTGCCAAACCCGAAAAGCAAAGAGCAAATAACTCATTTGTGATCCCTAACTTCAGATTGATCTGCCTCACCAGGACAAAGTCAAGGAGCAATGAAGCTGCATACAAAAACTGGAGGGTACCAACCAGTTTTCTCATGGGAAGTTCTTTCCAGTACCGGTCAAAGAGAACAACCAAGGAAAGTAGCGTCAGCTGGCCTATTACTTTGGACAATCCAATAACTGAAGGGTCTAGATTTAGGCATTGTGTCTGATAGCAGAAGATGGAACCTGAAAGAACAGGAACCATGGTAATGGAAGCCACCATCCACATCAATGGACGGAATATCCGGTCCTCCCTTAAAGCCATCTTCAGATTGTTTACCTGATATATGATGCTCTCCCAAATCGATTTCCCAACAACAGAACGGTCTGGTTCTCGTGACAGACCAAGAAATTCCTCCCTGCCTACTGATGAACTACCAAGCTGGAGAGACAACAGAAATGCAAATACCACAAACATGGTTTTGGGGGCTGTCTTTTGCAAGAAAATGCCACCAAGCAAGTTGCCAAGGATTCCACCTATAGCCAAAGCCATAAATCCATAGGATTGGAGGCCTCCTATTTTGTGTTTTTGGCCATACTCAGCTACAAGAGCATCCGTAGCAACTTCAGTAATTGAAACACCAATGTTACTTAGAAGGATGCACGCCATGAGCATGGGAAGAGCTTTAGATGCAACAGGAATCATTGCCAACACACCCCAAGGCAATATCTGCAAACAAACTACACAAAAGAGAATTTTGGGAATTTCCATCAGTCAAAAGCACATAAAAGCAAGTTCAAAGTAAGGATTATGATGAAAACTGAGAAGAAGAAGAGGCAGGCAAAGACAAAACCAACCTCCAATTTGAATGTAAGGTATTCTATGAGCTCCACCAATGTAGATAACATCAGAAAGGACACCATAGAGAGGCTTGGCCACCATAGGAAGGTTGCCAGCACTCTGCACAAGCTGCAGTAGGGAAGGATGAAAGCTGAGATGGTGAGCCATGTGGAAGTTGAGACCCAGCCATGGAAACGCTCTAAACCCTTGCATCCAACACCCAAACCCACACAGCACAAGCATTTGCTCCCAACCCAATTGGCCACGGAAGCCTCCAACTCTTGTCCCCTTCGTCTCCCCTTCATGCCCCTTCACATTATCGCTCACCCGTTTGTCATCGCCGCCACGAAAATGACCCGGATTAACCCAAATGGGCTCGGAAGAGACACGGGTTACGAGTCTAGCTCTGGGCTCATGCGCCTGGTCAGTGCACGTCCGAGGATTCTGCTCATGAAAGACGCAAGCAATTGGGTGATTCCGCCCTAAAGCTGGCAACTTTATCGAAGGAGGAGGAGGAGGAGCGTATATAGATCTCAGGTCCCAGCCCGTATTGGGCCTCCCAATCGGACACCTCGTCGGAAGAAAGGAATGAATCATGATGACGACGAGAATACAGAGAAAAAAACTCAAATCATGTGTGCAAAAAACAGAAACACTTTCTCTTTTTTTTTGTCCCACCTAAAAGATGGGCACTTTCCTCCTAATTTTGTGAGGGGATAGCTTTGTTGAAATCGGGGTTGTGGGTAGATGCGACATTTAAATAATGAAGGAAGGTAGAGAAGAAGAAGAAGGAGGAGGAGGCAAAGAAGCAAAGGAACGCATATTTGAGAGAAATTGAATCCTTTCTTGACGCTTTCCTGGAGAGAATAGAATTGAGAATTGGAGGAAGAGCAAAGCTGAGGGTTTAGAACAAGAGTGTGACAGAGGACTTGGTTGGAGGAGAGGGATTAACGACAAGAAAGGCTGAATTCTGAAAGGGGGCGGGCTGGTTGCAGCCAAAACGAATAGGAACGATGTAGAGGAAGAAGGCAGAGAGTTCCAGGCTAACAGTCACGACTCTCTTTCTCTGTGTTCGCGCCACTTGTCTCTCTTTGTGCCGTTTGGACCCTCCGTAGATCTGGAGGTGGGGCCCAACGTGGGAGAGCCAAGGAATTGGGCCACGAGGGGAGGGCAGGGAAGGGGCCCACTGGGCCAGGCCAAGCCCAACGTGGCAACGTGAGAGAGCAAGACAACGTTTTTTTGGAGGAAAGAGTCCGGTAATTGCAACGACAGCGACCTAAACAAATGAGGGTTCTGATGGTTACCGGCGTCCTCGATGTCGGCCCGTGGCAAATGGGCGGATGGAGTGATTTTGGCTTATGTCACCGACTGGGGTTTATTTTTTTTGACCCGATCGGAAATTCTGGCTAGCGTATCGACCGAGCAGCACCGCAAGATCCGACGACCGTGACAACGGGATTCTCAAGTCTCAACCCAAGAAATAGCAAAATTTTATATTTGCGGTTAATTCATAGCTAAACCAGCCCGTCTAGCTCAGTCGGTAGAGCGCAAGGCTCTTAACCTTGTGGTCGTGGGTTCGAGCCCCACGGTGGGCGAAGCATCTCAATTTTTATTTGGCTGGAGAACTGAAAGAAGCACAAAAGCAGTAAACCTTTCACTATCTTCTCCAAGAGTGTCGTCTCTTGCTTTTTTTGATTCATATACTGCCTGACATTAGTGTCACTCTCTTCCAAAAATATGCTTCTTCTTCCTATAGTGCATATGCTAAAAAAAAGATTCTCACCGCCTTCAATAGTCCTGACAAATCTAACAGGATTCAGATAATCAAGAGAGCAGATCGAACTTCGACTCCAACACCGACTGAACTTCAGTAAGGGATGCCACTTTGAAGTCTGGTTCGAGATTCAACTCTGCGAAATCATCAGGGCTATACCTGTCTTTTTCATCAAGCAAACATGTGAATGCCCCAGCGCGTTTGCCACAAACCACCTGCAAATTAGCCACATAAGAGACATGGATAATCAAAGACTACTCGAGGTATGTTCCAAATCAAACATCAAACGAGAAACTACATTATGCCAAGTATGAAAGAACCAAAGCATAATGGTTGTACCTTGTTCACTTAAACGAATTCCAAGATAGATACTCGAATGCATATGGCAGGAGCGATGAACAATAAAAGAGAGGAGGAAGACGGGATGCAGATGATACGACTTACATCATCTTTAAGGCTGTCACCGATCATTATGACCTCATCGGGCTGAACATCCCATGCTGAACAGATATGCAGTAGAGGAGCCGGGTCTGGTTTACAAGGACGGAACTCCCGGCTCAATGCTGGAGAAAAGGGCCTCTGCAGCAAAGAACCCACCACAAACAAGATTGAAACCCTCTATCTGAATTCAAAGCTGAAAAATGAAAATAGGAATTGCTTATTGCAAAGAGCAAAGTCTGGATAACTGAAAAGGCAAACATTGACCATTACTGTGAGCATTTGCACTACTTCTGTTACAGCCAAAGAAAGAAGCAGCATTAACTGTAGTTAAGTTAGGGTCAAACACAAATAGTTTGTGAAAATATGCACCAGTCAGGCCACCAATCAATCACAACTTACAAACTTGAGGAAACCTAGTATAGTAGTATTACTAGTATACATCCCAGTGGAAACACCGAAACAGAAGCATCAAAGCTTTTTTATGAAGGTAATTTATGGAAGTTTCCATAATGGTAAGCAGCGAACTCTAGCCTTTCACCATTCAGACTACTACTTAACTTCCAGGACATCGTTCAACAATAGAGAACTATCAAAAAACAAACACCATGGTGGCAGTCAGTTCAGAAGAAACCAACAGCAAGGCAGAGTCATTCAACGCCCATCACAAGAAGCAACACACTTACCCCAAATCGGGAATGAAAAAGATCAACAGCTTCCTTGAAGTTTCGAGTGATTAGCCCCCTCCTGAAGAATTACAAACTAAGACTTCCATGACACTAACTTCTTTACGCATATTTCAATTTTCAGCTAAGTATTATCAGCAAATTCTACGGCATAACTCGATAACCCAAACCTGATTTTCTTCGAATCCAGAAACCCACATAGCTCTGCAGCACCTGCTCAATCAGCAGCAGCCAGCAATTGAGAGATGCGAAGGTAATGTGCCCACCTCAGCGCAACTAAAATTCACCAAAAAAACTAACCAGGCATGATTTGAAGGCGGTCGAGACCCTGGCGCTCGTGATCAACAATGATCTCGTAAGCCTTCCGCTGCCGGTCGGGGCTCCAGTTCTCGATGTGGTGGAGAATGTCGATGCCCGAAGGATTCTCGGCCTTGATTCTCCGGTACTCGTCCTCGCCGAGCACGGCGTTGTACATCGCCGCGAAATCGATGGCCGGGACCGTTAGGGTTCCGTCCATGTCGAAGACCACCCCTCTGATGCGTGCTCTGGCGGCGGGAACGGCGGTGGACATGGCGAAGTGAGAAATTGACGGTGGGCGGTGCTTAGGATGCAGAGAGAGGAATGATTTGATGAGGACAGAGCGCATAATTTTGGAGGGAGATTTATGGAGATAATGCTGGATTTTTGTGCGGGCGTGGCGAAGCGCTAAGGTGGCGGTTGGTTAACCAACTGCTCTTTAACAGCCGGCGGTATGATATTCACAAACGGAAGATGCCGGACTCTGGAGCATAATAGGCCCAAAGCTCAAAAACCTCCATTTTGGGCTTACAATATGTCCATTGGGCCAATGGCTCGTTTAGGAATTCATTTCCTTCCCCCAAAACGTTTTTAAACAAGAGCGAAAAAAGAAAAAAAAAAACGTTTCAAAGTTCATCACTGTCTTTGTTTAATCTGCGAATTGCACTTCTCGGCCTGCGCCAAACAAAAAATCAGTGGTTATGGCGGCAGCTTCACCGCCACCGTCGACTTCCAAATCGTCAAACAAGAGGGGAAAGAGAAGGCGAGCACAACAAGACCCGGTGCTCGAAGGAATCGATTCACTCCCCTGGAAATCCTCGCTTCCCGAAGCCGAAGAAGGTGACCCGTTCTCTGTCTTCGCCGGCGTTAATGATTTCGAAGGAGGTTTGTCATCTCTCTCTCCTCTCTTTTATCATTCTCGGGAATTTTCCGGCTGTAATGAGAGTCGTCATGGCTTATGGCTTTTGCGGTTACCGCAGCACCTTAGTACTTTCTATTTGCTTTACTGTGGCAAAACTAAATATGAATTTATACTTCACGTTGAGGTTGCTGTAGTGTTTAATACTCTATTGCACATTGCGAGCTTCAGGTTTTCTTTCGCTCGAAGAGGTCGACGAGCTTGATTATGGGTTGTCGATTCCTCAACCTGAAAAGAAATCAAAATCCAAGAAGCAGAAGCGTGATCCTGCCGCTGATGGTGCTGGTGGGAGTGTAGAGGATAAGAAAGCTGTGGAGAAGAAAAAGAAGAAGACGAAAAAAGGGAAGCAGAAGAATGGAAAATTGACGGATACAAATGAACCAGAGAGAAATGAGGCGGAAACTGGTTGGTGCTTCTTCTTGCTCTTGTTCCTTGTTGTGGATTATGTTAGTACTGCGAATTGATCCCTGCTGCAATCTCATTCTCCTTTCTGTATCCACCTCGCCTTGTGATCAACATTGTTGACTTGCTTTTAATTGTCCGTTGAACTCTATAGCTCATCTAGTACCCTACTAATTATCTTGGTGACTCAAATTGTGATGAACATATGGTAAGAGTATGCTAACCATCGGCTCCTGATTCTGTATTCCTTATCTGGTGCTAGTAGTTAGCGATGGTGATGCTGTGGTTAGCAATGATAATGGTGATGATGTGGATAGTGATAATAATGGTGACACCAAAGAAGACTCGGTTGATGAGACCGAGTTTTATGCATGGAATGAATTAAGGCTTCATCCCATGCTTATGAAATCAATCCATAGGCTTGGTTTTAAGGAGCCAACACGGATCCAGAAAGCTTGTATTCCTGCAGCGGCTCATCAAGGAAAGGTCAGTCTTGTTTAATATCTTGAGGTGTTGTCATTATATTGGTAGTGCGATGGTCATGATTGCTCTTTTCCATGATAGGATGTTATTGGTGCTGCAGAGACCGGGTCTGGGAAAACTCTTGCCTTTGGTTTGCCGATTTTGCAACGTCTACTAGAAGAACGAGATAAGGCTGAGAAACTGCTTGATGATAAGGGTGATGATGCTAACAAGTATGCCCCAACAGGTGTTCTGCGTGCTCTAATCATCACCCCAACGAGGGAACTTGCTGTTCAGGTACCTGTACCATCTCACCATTGGTTACTTTCAGACACATTCTTGCTCACCCCCAACGAGGATATGCTTGCAGTTTTGTTTTGCTGGAAAACCATATATGTTTGATTGGTCTTTTATACGAATTCTTTTAGATTGGTAGTTTCATTTGTCTTTTTTAGTTGACTGATTTAGTTGAAAGAAAAGCAGCCCCTCTCGAATCCAGTACTGCGTTTTCCCCTCCATCTTTCATCTCTCTATATAGGAGGTGATGTAACAGTTTACACGTGGATTTTTGCAGTTCAATACTGTATTCTCTTTGTTTCTTTTTCAGTGTTGTGATCCAAAGGTTGAAAGACGTTTTCCCTCATATTCAATACATTGACAGGTTGCTTAACCTGGTAAAGTTTTTATTTTTTACTTAATTAGTTTGGACCTGTATTTTTGGATTTTGTCTAGGTTACTGATCACATTAAGGAAGCAGCTAAAGGGATCAATGTTAGAGTGGTTGCAATTGTTGGTGGAATGTCAACGGAGAAACAGGAGAGACTGCTAAGAGGAAGACCTGAGATCATTGTTGGAACTCCTGGGCGATTATGGGAACTTATGTCAGGGGGAGAGGAGCATCTTATTGAAGTCAGTTTTGATTGCTTTCCATATATTAGTGGTTTTGTACGCAAAAGAAATTTATCGTTTTCTATTTCTTGTCCATTGACGTGCTTTTGTGCATATTTTATTGTTGCAGTTGCATTCCTTGTCGTTCTTTGTGCTGGATGAGGCCGATAGAATGATTGAAAATGGACATTTCCGAGAGGTGCAGTCAATTATTGATATGCTTCCCATGTCCAGCACCTCGACTATTGATCAGTCTCAAGAAAGCCAAAGTTGTGTAACAGAGGCTAGCTTGCAGAGAAAGAAAAGACAAACCTTTGTTTTTTCTGCCACTTTAGCATTATCGGCAGATTTTCGTAAGAAACTAAAGCGCGGGTCAGTGAAATCAAAACAAGCAGTGTCTGCTGACCTTAATTCTATTGAAACCCTTTCTGAGCGTTCTGGAATGAGAGCTAATGTTGCCATTGTCGATTTGACAAATGCATCTGTCTTGGCTAGCAACCTTTCTGAATCCTTCGTTGAGTACGTTATCGATAACCGAGCTATTATGTTTGACCAATTCTTTTCTACTTTGGAATTTTTTTTTTTAATGTATTTTCTTGTTAATCTTTGGCAGTTCGTCTGAAATCATAGATTTTCAGGTTGCCTGATGCTTCCTTTCTGTATTTTGCTGTGCAGGTGTGCCGAAGAAGATAAAGATGCTTACCTGTATTATTTATTGAGTGTTCATGGGCAAGGCCGCACTATTGTTTTTTGTACTTCAATTGCAGCGTTGCGCCACATCGCTTCCCTCTTGCGCATCCTTGGAATCAATGTTTGGACACTTCATGCTCAGATGCAACAACGAGCTCGTTTGAAGGTTTCCTATTTTCTCTTCTTTTCCAATATAATTTGTTTTTTTGCTTTTGAATATGTTGTTGATAATGTAAAGTTTCATATTTTCTCTCTTATAATTGAATTAAAATACAATAACTGAAATATTAACTTCAACTTCATAATTAAGTGGGATGATTGATATCTTGTGGCAGTAGAATATGAGCTGGCTTTCAAGAGGCAAATTATAGATTATCTGAACAACCTAGTGAATTGATTTACTGTTTTGATGATTCTTATCAAATAACATGGCAACCCCTAGAAACCTCTACTATCTTCTTTGTCCATTTCATTCCACAGATATCTTTCTTCTTCCACAAGTAGGCCATGTATTGGTAGTCCTATGATCTTTGTCACTCCACTTATTAAAATTATAAAATGTCACAAGCATGTGGAGTCCGATTATGCTGTGATGCCAACAACCTTCCTCCGCTATTCAATGCAGGCAATTGATCGTTTCCGTTCCACTGAACATGGCATACTTATTGCCACAGATGTTGCAGCAAGAGGGCTTGATATCCCTGGTGTTCGAACTGTTATACATTACCAGCTTCCTCATTCTGCTGAAGTAAATATTAAATTCTCTTTCACCACATGCTTTGTAAGTTTATTTTCTTGCCTTTTCTTTTTGTTGAATTCACCATTGCACTTGCTGCTGTTAGGTTTACGTTCACAGAAGTGGAAGGACAGCTAGGGCTTTTGCTGACGGCTGCAGCATTGCTTTAATCTCGTCGAAGGATACCTCAAAATTTGCATCACTCTGCAAGTCATTTTCGAAGGTAGTACAGCTCCTGATATGAAACTTTTTATGTGGCTCGTGTTACCCAGTTAAAAAACATTGAAACCAAATTTGGAAAGCAGATATCGGAACTTGGTTTTGTTGAGTGAAAATCAGTCCGGAACCTTTTTAAAAGTCTCATATAACACAAAATGGTGTTAGCAAGTAATTCTGATGCTACAAAATTTTACAAGAGTTCGAAGTGTTGTTGCATTTGAGATCTAGGAGTCATTACCGTTTCTTAAATATTTGGTGGTTAAGAACAGTTGAGTAACATTTCTCTGCGTTGAACTACCTTAAACAGGAAAGCTTTCAGAGATTTCCTTTAGACGAGTCCTACATGCCAGAGGTGATGAAGCGATTGTCTCTAGCACGTCAAATTGACAAGATATCACGGAAGGAATCTCAGGTATTAATCGTCTACATAAATGTTTCATTCTTAGGTGTTTTAACATGGTTAGTTCAAGCTAGCATACTGACTTCTGAGATTGATGTAATTGAGTAGGAGAAGGCAACGAAATCCTGGTTTGAGAGGAATGCAGAATCAGTTGAGCTACTTATCGACGAGGATGACAGTGAGGAGGAAAGAGTGAACCATCTTAGAGAAAAGAAAGCTAGTTCGGCGCAACTGAAAACCCTGCAGCAGGTATTACTTTTTCTTAACTGTTTTTTTTTTTTTTTCCTTCTTTGGGTGGAAAAATACTTTTTCTTTACTTATATCGTGGTCTGCCTTCTGTTTCTGCAATTGGGTTGTCTCAGCCATGTGATAATCGATCTTCTTCTTTCTCACAGGAGCTCAATACGATAATTTCCCGCCCATTGCAACCTAAATCATTCTCCCATCGCTATTTGGCTGGGGTAATTAGTTAACTATGTCTCATAAGTTGAGCCCTTGACATTCCCAACAGTTCGCTCTGCTGTATTACGGAGCTTACTCATAAGATCATTGAATCCAAGTTTGGTAGTAAGGGTCCGGCTCTTCAGCCTTCATTGACCATCCCAACAAGTCACTTGAGAATGTCAACTATTCTTTCAGGCTGGAATTTCACCCCTCCTTCAGCAGCAAATTGAAGAACTAACAAGGCAAAAGACGAAGAACGGAATGGGCATGGGAGACAACAAACGGAGGAAAATGGTTGTCATCGGTCAGGACTGCGTGGAGCCACTTCAGGCACTCCGCAGTGGTGGTCATGAGGTTGTATGCCCTTATCTAAACTTTTTCTTAAGTTTTTTCTTTCTTAATTACCGAGCTTTAGTGCTGTCAGGTAGGGAGGATATGAGATTATCTTATTGCCGCTGTCGAGATGGTAGATAGTTTAGGAATATATAACTGGGTGGGTCTGAAGAATGTTTATTATTACCGAGTATAACATGGTGATGAACCCCCGAAATATAAACTTGGGAGTTTGGTCTTTATCTTGTGCAGGTGCGCATGGACACGAAGGATGTGGCCGAGAAACGGAAGAACATGGAGAATTTGAGGAGAAAGAGAAAGGAAGAAAAGAAGCGTATGCAGTGTGCTCTTTCTTTGCTTTTCCGTTCACTGCAGTTTTCATTCATAGACCGACTTTCGACTATATCAACAGTTATGTGTCTTCATTCTCACCCCCTTTCAATTTGGTGAATTGGTGTGTTTCCAGGTAAGCGAGATGAGCAGAGAAACCAAAAGAAGCAGTCAAGAGGGCGGGCGGATTAATGACTAGATGTGAAACAGTGAGTGAGTGCTATATCTTTGAAGGTACAAATTCCTGGAAGCAGGTTAATGGCAAAGTAGACCATTTTTTTTGACATTTCATGGTCAACTGCTTCAGGGTAACGCCGTAACGGTTTACATATCTTGTACCATAAGTTACGTAGCTCTTACGTCATGTTCTTAGGCCTTGGCTGTAGCATACTCAGAATACCCTTTGCGATGATACAATCTATAGCATTTTGATGGCCTGCCTGGCTTTGTTCTCGAGAAAGGGCAGGATATTGACCAAATCCTGCATAATGTGAGATTTTGACAAGATTACACCTTTGAGAAGTGCATGATATTGAGCGTGAAGATTGTTTAAATCCTTCAAATGCAGGTTTTTGAATTAGGCAGGTTGGCTTTGCTGCTACTGTTGTTTCACTTTCATACCCAGTAGCTTGCTTGGGTGTATTTTTTTTTCTTGTAAAAGTTTTCTCGGGTAAAATTTCTCGAGTATCACTTAACTTTGAGAAATGGGGGAGTTATACCACTTAATTTAGAATAGTGCGTCGGGTACCACTTAAATCAACAAATGGTGCATCCGTCCAAAATTCCATCCAAACAACTAACGGAAGGAATAACAAAATTATATTTACACCACATAATCTTTCCACGTAGTTTAGGAACCTCTTCTTTAATAAACCTAGCCTTGTACTATTTAATCCTAACCTATGAAACAAAAAGGCAAAAACCCACCTAGACCAAACCCCCCAATCCCGTCTCTCTCCTCTGCTCTACCAAATACCCCTTCTCCAACAAGAACAACAATGGCGTTCGTGAATGGCAGATCAGCTTCAAGAATCCAGCAACTATAACAACAAAAGTCTCTCATTGAGATGCTCTGAATAAGTCTAAACAGAAATCGATAAGCATCAACGATATGTATTCAATATTTAAAGTTGTTGTCCATGGAAGCTCCCCAGTTATTGTATTTTCCTCGATCGTCACGAGATCTGCGAGCTCTCTCTTTCCCTCGGGCTGGCACTCGATTTTTGCTCCCCATAATCAGCGTCTAAAATTGGCGTTGCTTATAGATTAAAGCCTTTGTCTTGATTTATAGGGTTCCAAACTGTGGGTTTTTATCATCCTCTTTCTGAGATTCCTAATCTGAGGCCAAAATGCAATGACAAGCTCGAATGGGCGACGAGTTTGATGAGTCATCGTCCCATTTCCTGCGACATTGATGCCTCTACAACTGGATATGATACAATTTTGTGGGGAGAAGCGAATTCGCCTGACTGAATGGTTGACGTAGATTTTGGCGGACAAAGGGCGGATGGAAATTTGCTGCCAACGCGATCTCTGCAGTGGCTTCAAGCTCTCGAGATGCAGGTCATGGACGCCATTGTTGTTCTTCTCTTACAAGGGGAATTGGCAGAGTAGAGGGCGAAGGAGTGAGATGGGGATTGGGGGTTTGGGTATTTGGTTCATGCCAAGAATAAAACATTCCCACTTTTTGTTTAAACTAAGATTTTCGTTGTTGTAATTGTTGGGCTTGAAGCTCTACCTAGATCAATTGAGTAGTTATTTATTTGCAGTTCCTGGAGTCTGGACGTCATTGTAGTGTTTGAGAGTGTTTTTCAAAGTAGAGAGAGACAGAGTGATGGGAGAGAATGGAGGTTTGGATAGGTTAATCGATTCAGCAACTCCAATCCGATGTGGCAAGGCTGATGTGGGCAAAACTTATTTTTTTATTTCCACCGTTAGTTGCTTGGATGGAATTTTGGACGGATGCACCATTTGTTGATTTAAGTGGTACCCGACGCCCTATTCTAAGTTAAGTGGTATAGCTCCCCTATTTCTCAAAGTTAAGTGGTATCCAAGGTATTTTACCCACGTTTTTCTCCTTATTAATTAATGCTATGTCATCATTATAAAAAAAATTGAAAAAAATAGGAGGAAGATGAGGGTAAAAATTGTAGTTTGATTTTATTTTTTCAATGGAATCTCATATGATAAACAAATACAAGATTTGGTGAAATTTCACTAATACCTCTTTGTTTTTTGTCAAATACCACATTTGCATGGCTCTACTAAATAAGATACTTTAATTTAATTACCACTCAAATACCCCATGAACAATTAATGAGTGATTTAACCTTACAAATACCACATTAACAATTATTCCATCCAAACCACCCTTAACTTTTTCAACGGTACAATTGTGGGTCAAATCCCCCATTTTAGAAAACCCTATCCCCCTAACCGTTTGATGGATGGATGGATGGATAGGATGGGCTGCGACAGCCGCAGTTTTATGAACAGCCGAATTGTAATTGTAAATGGGAAAACGGAGGGGAAATAAGAAAGGAAGAATAGCAGCAGAGGATAATACCGACGACTTAGAACAAGTGGAAGTCGTCTGTTTCTTTATAAGTTGAAACCACAAACAAATGGGGGGGAAATGAAGATTATTCTGTTTTGGTAAATTCTTGGTTGACTTGACTTGTCATTCATTCTAGCTGTAGTGATGAGATAAAACTAAGCTCTGCCACCCATTTGGGAAGACAAGGATAGGAGGAACAAGGAGCCAATTGTCATGTTTTGTAATAACCTAATAAAAGGTTGGAACTTGGAATTGTTTCTGGTATTGAGGTGTGGTCTTTCTTTCTAGGACAAAACAAGCAGACACTAGTGGGGGATGGAGAATTGCACGTTATCAGTGTTTTGTTTCGTTTTGAGCTCATGAGATGTTTTAATATTGTGACTAGCTAGTCAATTCAGCTATGACTTATATCTTATGATTTGGTTTGTTAATAATGCATAGATTTCTTAAATGTATATCTCACTTCACATGATATTTAATATTTTGAATAGGTGAGTAAATATGTCTCGCCTATAATATAAATATTTGATTTGTCAATGATACATAGTATTCACGACAGACATGTGCGTGCAGCCGGAAAAGCAAAGTTTTTTGTGTCTTCGTTTTGTTATTGGTGGCTGATATTCAATTATTCATAACCCAATTGTGTTATCTCGTTCGTTTCGTTTGTTCGTTCTACAGTTGAATCTGCTGCTTTAGCTGCTGCAGCAGCAGCTTGTTGAATGGACTGTAGTAAAAGAGAATGAACAAGTTGTCTGTCGTGATGCAAGCAAATAGCAATCCAGGACTGTCCTGTTCGTCTTCGTTGTGGCGTCCCATCTTTGTGGAAAATTTTGTATATAATTCCACAAAGATCCGAGGGGAGGTGGGACAGGACAAAATAACAGCTGAAGATCATCTGTAAGTATGTATGTAGTAGCAGCACCTCAATCTCAGTATGGAGGGGATCCTTTTGTTAATTCATTCTCTAAACCTGAACGACTGGGGGATCCTTTTGTTAATTAGGGTCGAACTGGGAACGTAGAATGAAGAATGCTTGGCAATTGTTTATTATCTCTCCAGCTCCATGGAATATTGGAATTCAACCATCACACAGTATGTACGGCCCCTTCTATCTAGGAGATTTGGCAAAAATATTCGTAACCGTGAATATCCGCCCGAATCCGACCTAACCGGGTAGGGTAAAACTCGAACCCGAATGACTTTTAGTGGGTATGGGTAAAACTCGAAACCGAATATTGCGGGTAATGGGTGGGCATGATTTTGGCAATATCCAACCCGAACCCGCCCGATTATACACATGCACGTGTATTTTATCTAGAAAATCATTACTTTTCTCTAACATATTTTTTATTTAGAATATAAACATAATATTTTTTATGTAATTGTGTTGTTTTAATTAATTTTCTACATTCTAGTGAATAATTGTCGTGCTTTTCCTCTTATATAATGTGAGAATACGTGTGAATGTTAACATATTTGTTGGAGTTATAAAGAGATTTTTTTACCCATGGATATCCGTGGATACCCGAAACCCGAACGGCCATGGGGATGATTTTAATTTTCTACCCATTTTTATAGTGGGTATGGGCATGGGTAAAACCCGAAATATTTTGGGTAAGGTAATGAATATGCACTATCCGCGCCCAACCCAACCCGTTGCCATCCCTAGATTGTACTTACCGGATGATAAGTCAGTGATTGTATATCATAAAACCGTAGTGAAAATCATAAAATTGTATACAAAATTGTACCGGATGATAAGTTAGTGATAAATATTCTGTGGAAAAAATCATGGTTCAATAATAATCTCACATTTGTAAAATTAAATACTGGTATGAACTCTGATAAAAAATAAAAAAAATCGGTTCGACCATCTAAACGTTAGGGTTTAGCAAACACTGCTATTTGTAATTTGAGAATAGTGAAAACGAGTACAAGGAATCCGTTTTACAAGATTCAAAAACGGTCTTCATTTTTCTGAGTTGCCTTCTATACACTATACTACTAGTTGTAAAGTATAAAGGTCATGCGAGCCATCTTGTGTACCATAAACATCCCGCTTAGTATGGTGGCTTGTTTTTGTTGTATGCTATGTTTTTAAAAAATTATGGAAACCAAGAGAAGAAAAAAAACATGTTCAATTAGGTCACTGAATTTGGTTTTTGGTTTTTACAAATACAAACGTAAAAATGGGTCTTGGTAGCTTATTCATCTATATATATAGAATGTGGAACACTCTAGGTAACAAATAATGGATTGATTCCAAGAAGTACTTGATTTTAGAAACAACATTGGATGAAAATGGAAGTCGGTGCACGTACTACAACGTTAATAGAATGCAATATATTGTATCGTGTCGTTACCTGTAAAGTATGAGTATACGTAGAATTCATAATTGCACATGGATGCTTAAATTATTAGAATCATTGAAGCTAAAAAAACTTGGGTAGAAAAAACATTTAATAATGCGTCATAAAAAGTGAATTCGATGTAAAATTTTTCCACTTATCTTGATGCAAATGTATTATTATTATTATTATTATTATTGAATTTTAAAAAAATATTATACTTACTATCCAAAATGTTTGCGAGCAAAGGCCATTGGCCCGCATTTCCGCCCATGTACTCACTCACTGTCAAGGTATAATAACATCGAATATCAAGATTCAAGAAATACTGCTATAGTATGCAAAAAAAAAAAAAACATAAAAAGAAAGATTCAGTTGAATCTAATTTCTAAAATAGTATCAAATCTACGAACGTATTCTTCGATTTAATCAACCAACCAGTATTTCAAATTACTTTTATCAAATCTGGTGCTCTTTTTGCTGTGGTTGAAGATCTGAATTCTAAGCTGGGGCAACTCAAAAAGAGTGAGGAAAGTTTTTATTGGCAGAAGGCTCGAGTTAACCATCTGAAGCTGGGGGATCAGAGCACAAGGTTTTTTCACCAATCAGTGAAAATAAAGACTGCTAAAAAGGCTATACGAAAGTTAATTCTTGATGGGGGTGAAGAGATAGTGGAAATGGAGGATATTGCTACTGAGGCAGTAAGATTTTATAAGGTTCTGTTTGGATTTATTGACCCTGAGGTACATCCTGATAAACCGTCCCTTGAGTCTCTGGTGTTGCAGAGATTGAGTGAAGAACAGAAGGTCTTCCTATGCCAGGAGTTCACTACAGATGATGTGAGACAAGTTGTTATGGGTATGAGCTCTCACAGGGCCCCAGGCCCCGATGGTTACTCAGCAGGTTTTTACAAGAGGACATGGGGGATTGTGGGAGAAGACATTACCTCAGGGATCCTGCAATTCTTCTCTATAGGTAAGCTCCCTAGTAGTATTAATTCTACTGCTGTGTCACTAATACCTAAAGTTGCCTCTGCCTGTAGACTGAAAGAATTTAGGCCAATCTCCTGTGTGAATATAATCTACAAAATTATTGCCAAATTGCTTGCAAATAGATTGAAAAAGGTCCTGGCTACTGTTGTTAGTGGGAATCAGTCGGCTTTTATAGAGGGAAGAAGGATCGTTGATAATATTTTAATGGCCCAGGAGTTAGTAAGTGGATATCACAAGATTACCTTATCTTCTAGATGTGCTATCAAGGTAGATCTAATGAAAGCATTTGACTCAGTTCATTGGGGATACCTGTTCCTAATGATGGATGTAATGGGCTTCCCTTCAAGGTTCATCTATTGGATCAGGTTGTGCATTAAAACAGCAAAGTTTAGTATATGTATAAACGGTGGGCTGTGTGGTTTCTTTGGAGCACAGAGGGGGGTGAGACAGGGTGATCCCCTCTCACCTTACCTGTTTACAATCGCTATGGAAGGACTTTCTCTCCTTTTGAATCGAGCTGCTGCAGAAGGTACTCTACCTTTTCACCCACAATGCAAGAGAGTTGGCTTGACACACCTGTGTTTTGCCGACGATCTACTCATCTTCACAGAGGGATCAGGACATGCTATACATAGGGTTCAGGAGATTTTAAAAGAGTTTCATTCCATTTCAGGGCTGAAGTGCAATCCAAGTAAATGTGAAGTTTACTTTGGTGGGAAGTCAGTACTGTTCAAGCAGGCAACACTGCAGATTTCAGGGTTTGCAGAAGGAGAGTTACCTGTCAGATACTTAGGGGTTCCTCTTCTCTCTGGAAAGCTGCCTTCTAGCGAGACAGACAAACTAGTGGCCATCATCACGAAGAAAATCCAGTCTTGGCGGGCTAAAAAACTCAGTTATGCTGGGAGGCTGCAACTGATTTCCTCAGTTCTGATGGGTACATTGCAATACTGGATGCAAATATTCATCTTACCTAAGAAAGTTATCAAGCAAGTCCAAATGTTGTGTTCTAGGTTTCTCTGGCATGGGGGAGAAGAAGGTCGTGCAAAGGTAGGTTGGGATAAGATGGCAAGGCCTCGAGGGGAAGGAGGATTGGGACTGCGTGATTTATGTGCCTGGAATAGGGCTTGTACAGTCAGGTTTCTCTGGCTGTTTCTAATGAAGAGTGGTGCTATCTGGGTTGCATGGTTTCAACACTATAAGGTCAAGAATCGCAGTATCTGGACAGTTTCTGACTGCCCAAGCAGCTCCTGGGCCTGGAGGAGGATACTAAAACTAAGAGGTATGATTCAACCATTACTGATGCTGCATAATTCACAAATCATGTGGGACAACAAACCTATGCCTGTGTTCAAGGTGAGTGTAGTCTGGAACACACTAAGAGTCAAGCATGCGGAGGTAGTATGGGGTAAGCTTGTCTGGGGAAAGAATTACGTCCCCCGAAACAGTTTCCTAACCTGGATGGTCATGTTGGATGGGATGGTGACTAAGCAGAAGCTGTTGACATGGGGGAAACAAACCGATGGATTATGTGTATTATGTGGAAATGCAATTGAAACTCGTGAGCATTTGTTTTTTGCGTGTGGTTTCTCAAATCAGGTGGTCAGGGAGTTGCAGATGGGTGTGCTCTGTTGTAGATCTTGGGAGGATACTGTGACAGTAGGTATAGCCTGCTGCAAAAGGCCGAGGATGGGCAGGATGACGAGCTTAATATGGTGTCTCTGTTGTGCAGGAATCTGGAAGGAACGTTGTCGTCGGTTGTATGGCAATGTCAGGAAACCAATGGAGGATTTTGTCAGGGAACTTAAGAGTGACTTGAGAGTCATTTGTGCTGATAACGATGAGCTTCTTAAAGGTTTGCAGCTACTGGGTTTGCAGGGGAGTATTGTCTAAAGTGGCTGGATTTCGAAGGTTGCATTCTGTGGAGGTGTAGTAGGAAGATGTTTTTGCTTGTGATTGGCTTAGGGCTGCTCTTAGTGAGCTTTCCTTTCGTTGTATTTGTTAACCATTTGTTCTTGTAAATGGTTTGCCTTTTGGGTTTAATAAAAAGGGGAACAGATTCAACGGAAAAAAAAATACCAAAAAAAGGTTGGAAAACAATTTCAAAACCTTTGGAAAACAAGATCCTTAACCGAAGTCCTCTCCGTAAAAAATTAAAAGAATCAAAGAAACAGTTGAGATTCAGAAATTCCAGCTTGTATCCACCACCACCACTCCTAAAAAATCT